TCCCCCCCGACCTCGATAAAGTGCAGCTGCCGTCCTGACGCCGTCCAGTCCGCGTATACGATGGGCTTCTTCCCGCCTAGGGGGGAGTCGAACGCCTGGAAGCGGCCCACCAAGGAATCCTGAGGCACGGGACACAAGGGAGAGAGGCCGGGAAGTCGAGGAATGTGTGAGGTTTTGAGTGGATGGCGGTGCATCCTCAAGATTCAGAGGGGGAAGATGTTGCGCGGTGGGTGTATAGCACATGGCGAATACCTGAATGCGTTGGAGGAGTTCGGGTCGTCTCGACAGGCGTTGACTGAGAAGGGAGCCTTCCCGTTCCTTCTCCTCGAGCACCTGCGCGTACAAGAACATGTATATGTGAACATTAATGCCGAGCGGATGACGACTTGCCCTCATGACCTATCGATGGACGGGTGCTTACCTCATAGAATTGACGATAGGAGATCGATGGGGTATCGGGCAGCTCGTTCTCCCCTCTACCTCCGCCCTCCCTGTGCCCGGCACCATTGCTGCTTGTGCTTGTTGTTGGCGGAGCCATCGATATCATGGTGATGGGCGCTGCTGGGAGATCGAAGTGGTGTTATCCTATTTCCAACGGTCCCTACGCAACGCGTCCCTTGCCCGCTATTCCAGACCTTGTGCTCTCTGTAAGGATGCGGCCCTTGCAATCCCTGTTAAAGTTTGATCATATGCATGAATATGAGGATATAGAGCACGCGGGGGGCCTTGAAAGCTAGTATTTGCCTACATCCGCGGTGCGAGTAATGACGAGGAGAGACCCCATACACCCTACGCGCCAGGAAAACCCATTCCGAATTAAATCGTCTACTTCGACCCATGCTTGGCGTTCTTCACACGCCACGCATAGTGAGCGACGTCAGGTGCTCGAGTTCACCTCTACTCTATAAGAACGGTCTCGGCAACGGGGGAGACCGTGGTGTTCATATCACTTGCATGAACGAGTCGCTCCTAGGGGTGGCTAGCAACGGACAGCACCCCACCCAAAAACCCTAAAAAAAAATGACTTAAGCACCCTGCCTGCGCCCGAAACATTTCCTAATACGTCCCTGCGGACGTGCGACGCATCACACTGACAGCAGGGCTGGTGCCTGAAGGCCATGCGCCGTTTGGTGGAACAAAATAAAAGAATGGCTTGGACCTGTGCCACGTCTGTTTTAAGAAGGGGACGTAAAATGATGGCCATATCTACTGCTACCCTCCGCCTAAATGATCAATTTCAAAGATTAGACGGGGCATTTCTTGATTATCGATTGTTCATATATCCAGAATATTACTATTTGTCCTTGCCGTGTAGATTGGAATAAAGTTGAGTCCTCTCTGCACTAGTTTTCTTCCACAAATCGGCTTAAGACCGCTCCTCCTTCGTCGAATCTCTTGTCTCCAGAAGTGAAGCACACCGACTTTTTGGCTCGAGTTTGTATCAGCTACCTGTATTATCCTGTTTTTTCATTAATAGACAAAACGGAAATTTGGTTGAAACATCGTAAGGGTGTATTTTCACCCCCGTCTAACATCCAAACGTCGTATGATTTGCGCTCTTTGGCTACAAAGTATACTATATACACTGCTATTCCTTGACCCAAAACCAGCGTCCCGCATGAAAAATGCGAGATTGTATATTTAGTTCATCTTAATATGCAATGAGAATATAAGTAATCTCGAAAAAAGATGTAGCTGAGGAAAGATACGCTTTTGCATATAACAGCGAAACCCAATTGTTGACAAGAATTTTGACTTGACACCTTACACTTTATGTGTGATAATTGTCTTGGCTACTTACGATTCTCGTCGTAGAAGCACGCTGTTTTTCCATCACTGTTAGCTCGTCATCCATGACTGCAAGAATGTGGTCCACCAGACATGCTTATCGTTATTCATTTCTACGCACGTGCGCTACATTCATCTATCGGGTTGAATATCTCTTTTTCAAAGATATCCTTTAATTCAATAAATTAGGGTCAAAAGAGGTTACTAAAAATACCTAAATACATGTGGTCGTCCTAGCTATGTACAGTGGCAAAGGATCATGCCCCTCTGTCCTCCTTGACAACCGCCACCCGCCCGTTACCTCCAATGCTCTCTTCTTAGCTGGTTTCACCAGGCACCGGCGGCGCCACAGAGAGATGCAAAAGTCGCATTTCTACATGCGTCTCACCCTGTTTAGCGTGCTGCTGACAAGGCGGAGAGGGCAAGTCCGCAAAGTCGATGCCTATGTCTTCCGGTGAATAGACGGCTCGCTCGCTTCGCGTGGACTCCACGCGAAGCGTCAGCTGCCAGGGCGGGTTCAAGGACGACGTTAGGGACAGCAGAGCCCGACGGACAAATCCCGTGTAGAAAAAAACGTCTTCCGTGTCGATTTCCTCCACCTCCTCCTCAAGCCTCCGCCTGCGACGCGCGTGCCCTGCTTCCTCCCTCACTTTGTCCGCCGGCACATTGCCCACCAAGGACTGCAGCATGGCGTCCCCCACCCGGACTCGGAGTGCTGGACCTGGAGGGGCAGGGGGAGGAGACGAGGGAGGGAGGGAGGACGGCGACTCTTCCACGCCCAAGATCACGTCCCTGTACATCCAGCCCTCCCGCCACCGTGGCTCCTCCCCCTCCTCCTCCTCCTCCTCCTCCTCCTCCGTGGCCGGGCATATCTCGCGTCTTCTGCGCGTCACCAGCACGGAGGCGAGCTTGTCCACGTCCGGGACCTCTACCTCTTCCTCCCCCGGCCCCTCCCCCCCTCCTTCCAGCACCACGCGGGCTAGGGTTATCAAACCTCGGACATTCACCACCCTCCCTCCGCGAGGGGGAAGGTCCAGGTCGCTTCCCACTCGCTCACGCCGCCCCTCCTCCCCATCATCCCCACGCCCTTGCCCTCCTTTGTCGTCCGCGGGCAGCCAAGCGCTCTTTCCTCCCTCCTCTTCCACGAGCTCCCGCGCTTCCTGGACGCTCAGCACCCTCCCTCCCTCCCCCTGCCCTGTCCGTCTGCTTCTCACCCTACGGTCCCGGGGCAAACGCAACACTCTCGTCTTTTCAACCACCACGGGTAGTAGAAATCCCCCTCGTCCCACCGCACTCCCCAAATTCTCGAAACGCACAGCCTCCCCTCCCTCCCCTTCCTCCTCCGCCTCCTCCCCCCACTCCGCGTCCTTCCTCCTTGTCAGTGCATCCACTAAGGCCCAAACCCCTTCAACACTCTCCGTCAGCTCCAAGACATGCACCACGCCAACCTCGTCCACGACCTCGAACCTCCCTTTTCCCCCGCCCTCCGTCCTCCTCGCATTCCCCGGGCTCCACTCCCACCTCCTCACTCGCCCTTCCACTCGCCCGTCCTCCCTCCCCATCCTCAAGCCCTCATCGAACCCTCCCGCCCTCTCATTCCTTTGCTCTTTCTCTCCCGCCCTCCGCAGCTCTTCCACCTCCCTCCACTGCCACACGGCTTCAACCCTTCTCAACAGCGCCCGGTAGCTTTCCTCGTCCTCCTGACTCCATGCATCCTGCGTCAACATGCTGCGGATGAGACGCGGTGCGTGGCTCCGATT